GTTTTCAGAAAATTAGAAATTTTGAAAAGGAAAAAAGAGGAAATAAATTACTGTCAGTGATTTAAATAAATGAACTGATAATTATTAAGCCAATAAAACAATAAACAGAATGAGTTGATAAGATGAAAATATTGGGATATTTTATTTGAGATGGTCACCTAACTAATTAAATAAATAGTCTATTCTAATGATATTTTTCTTTTGCGCATGAGACATCTGCTCCTCCACCAATATAAATGCATTCGGAAAGCTTTATTTGGAGTACTTGCATTTCGGCAGTATAAAACAAGAAATACCATTTGCATTAGGCATGCATAAATGACTGAATACCTGTTCTCATCAAGAGTTTCACCTTTTAACCTTTGTTTGACATAATTTACTTCTTGAATAATAAGCTTCTAAAACTTTTACTTTAAAAAACTTTACAAAAAAAACTTAAAAAAACTTTAAAAGAAAAACTTTCACTTTCACAGTAACACATATTTACTCCTAACTCTCTCTCTCTCTATAAAGTGGAATAAATTAAAATGGACAAAAACAGAAAGATGCATGGAATGGATGGAAATAATTAATGAGAAAAAAAAAAGAAACAATTAATTAATTAACCAAAGAAGAATGAAGATAAGTGGGAACTAAGTAATTTATGAAAGAAATTGCTAGGAAAGAAAAGTTCAGGATTTTGATAACAATCCAATAAATAATCCCATTTTCCAGTGATGAAATGGTTGAAATTTTACATGGAAATATCAAGCAGGAAAAATGTAAGTTTAATTATTTGTTCAAATTTGTCATAAACTTCATAATTATCAAATTTATTTTCAATTAATTAGGTTAATTTCAATTTAACAATTATTTTAACATTTAACAAAATGAAATGAATAAATAATGCGATAAAATAATATATCCTTTTAATTATTTATGCATTTTTGAATAATAATAAATTTGAAAAAAAGAAAAACAACTCGTAACATTGGAAAATATTTAAAAATACTGCGATACTTTCTTTTTTGTTTTACTGTCAACAAGATCAAATTTCAAGGCAAATCAATTTGAAATATTGTTTGAAGTGATTAATTTCAGCTATGGTTTGAATTATTTAAAGATTGAAATGCAATAAACTTTCATTTCAGATTTGTTTATTTTGTTCGAAATTCCAATTAATAAAATTTATATGTTTCATTTTGAATTACACAGTTTGTTTATGAACAAAACTGCTCATTGTTTTTTTTTTTGAATTTTCAAAAATTGAAATCTTTCAATCCACATTTTACTCTCTCTCCCTCTCTCTCTCTCTTTTTGAACATTCCGTCAACTAATCATTAGCTATTAGTGAGTTCATTTCACATTTCATTTTGCTGAGTAATGTGTACTTCAACTTTTTTTTTAACGCTAAATTTATCAAACTTAGCACTTCACAGATTATTTCATGTTAAAATGAATTTGAAGTAAGCCACTAAATATGCTATTGTTTTGAAGTAGAAAGAAAAAAATGAAAAAGAAATTCTTTTTTTTTTTTTTTCTAATTGAATGACGATAATTCAACATTTTAAACAAAATATCGTTTTGAAATTATTGGCAAAAATTTAAATTGGACATTTTTTTTTTTGATAAATCTCCAATTAAATAAACATTTTAAAGTGAAAGCCTAAATATTCTAATTTTGCTTGTCAAAAAAGTTAAATTAAAAAGTAATTAAATTAAAGATTAAAAAAAATGATACGTTTATTTATTAATCAATCATTATTGTATATTTTAATTTTCCTAACATTTACTGATCATTTAATTTTTTTTTTTGTTTTTCATCTTTGAAGAATTAATTAATTTACAAAAAATTGAAAAAGCATTTACAAAACTGATAAAATTTAAACAAAAAATTTGAATTAATAAATTTAAACTTTGAATGATGAAATTTAATCTGCAATTAATGAGAGAAAAACATTTGTTAAATTGTTTTTAGCTATGAAAAATCGTTGGCATTTAATCCTAAAAGGTGAACAAAAAAAAAAAAAAAAAAAAAAACGCAATGTGTAAATTGAAAGGGAAAAAATTTAGGCCCAGTAAAACTCGGTGCTTTTTATCTCTGATTAAATCCCAAAGTTTCTAATCCTTGCAAGCCTTAAATTACCTGTCATTAAACGAGGCTAATTAAATTGGAAGTTCTCCAAAAGTATGTTTTTGCTTAAAATACTATTTAAAAATGTAATTAAACTATATAGCAGTAAAAACATTGGTACTTTGTTGTAGCTAATACCACGTGTTTACTACAATAAAGTTAATAATGATTCTATCTTTGCTAACGAATATCGTATAATTAGGTAAATTTAATTAGTGATATTACTCTGAATGTAAAAATAGTTGTCTGGCAAGTAATTTTCATGTTTGAAACTTTATTTTCAATACCTTTATGTCATAGAATATTCATTTAATGAATATTATTGCAAATTTTATAAAATAAATTTAAATAATTTTCAAAATAATTTTTGTGGCAATTAATAAAAGATGAATAAATTTTTTAATTTCTGCTGATATTTCTCGAATATCTCATTCAGTTTTTAATTTTAGCATCTTTACAAACAAATTTACATTAAATGATAATTGAATTTTTTTTAAAAAAAGGTCGAATTTCAAAATTTCAAAGAAATTAACGACGACAACTTTCCTTCTGTTGCATATTTTTCTTACAACTGTTTAGCGCTTCATCGACAATTAAATGCTTGTTTTATAATTCATTAGCTAATTAACAGCTAATAATAGTAATTAAGAAAAGGAAATATTTATGTGCACAAAAGTAAATGTGATAAGTAATTTATTGAGATTTAATTAATAGATTTGTTAATAACAACTAATAATATCAATTATCAGCTAATTTCTCTCTATTAATGATAATGAAAATTTTGAAATATTTCAATTTTACATGCTAAAAATGTAAATTTAATTAATTATCATCAATACTCCAACATGACAACATTACCTGCCTTATTCATTTCTTTACATTTATCATTTACCAAAAGTAATTAAATATAGAATGTTAATGACGAAAGCAAAGATACGTTTCCAGGGTAGCAATTTTTGTAGTAAAATTGAATTGAAAGAATAGCACATCTTATGGGCAGCTGAAAATTTGAAATGAAAAATTAAAATACAAAATTAAGAATTTTGAATAATATATGAGAAAATGATTTCTTCCAGAAGACATAAATATCAAATGGAAATGTAAAACTCTTATTTGATTACTAAATACAAAATGCAAAAAATAACGTTAATTAGTTTTAATTTAGCTTATTTTTGGTCGTATTTTATAAAAATTTTAGAAAATACAAAAAGGAGAAACAATTTATAAAAATGCAAATGGTATTACGGAACTTTTTTTTTTTGAAATACATTTGATAATTCTATACTCTTTAATTTGATTCATATGATTTTTTCCTATAATCAATTCCGTATCACTTTCAAATTCATCATTCTTATCAAATATACCATTTGATAAGTGAATATTAACTATTAAAGTTTTCGCAAAGTAATTGTTTAATTATTCGAATTCGAATCAAATGTCATCATTAAAAGAAATTAAATGTTTCTTTCAATTAATACTTTGGTATAAAACACATATTTGTAAGCTCACATTCATTTGAATTTCGTTAATTACTTTCCGCATTTACAGTTTTTTTTTTCTACCTTTTATGTGACACCTCCTCTTTGAAATATATCGATGGAAAAAAGTACGTTAGGAAAATTGAATTCCAATTATAGTTACGCTTCTAAAAGATATGACATCTCGATAAATTGAATCTGATGGATGAAAATTTTGAGCTTACCCTAAAGATATCCGGCTTACCCAAAAATATCCGGATTGAATCAGGTAAACTATCGGATCCTCCATTTTCAACTTATAATTGTTATAATGTACTCATTTATATGAAACGGTCTTTAAAGACATTTTGTCGAAGAAATGCTGAAAAAGTGATAAAAATCAAAAATAACAATTTCCGCTCATACCATTAATTTCTATATTAAATTTGCTAGTATATTGATTAAAAATTGGTATAATGAACAAATGCTAACAACTCTTGAACTTTGACCCGCTATGGTGTAAATTTTTCCAAATATTTCCTAAATCTTTTATTTTTTGATTAGATTAATGAGAGCAACGATCATGCGATCATTGTTTTAAAGCTAATAAAAATAAAACAAATTTTACAAATAATTCAAATTAAAATCTGAAATTAAAAGAATATTTTTGTTTGTGAAAAAATTCTTATACATAATAATACTAAATGCCATATTTTTAATTATTTCACAAAGTTATCATTGAGGAGATGATGAAAAAAATGAACTTCATAACTTGAGAACTAAAAGTTAAGCAATTTAATGATAACTGATAACAAATATGCAATCAGTTACAAATGAATTATCCAAAAAATTTAGCTGGCAAAATTTAATTAATTAATTGCTCATTAAAAAAGATTAGTAAAAAAAAGTATAGATGAAGGTTTATGTATATATTACGATATAAATTCTTTTAATTTTTTAAAATTTAATTCGATTATAAATTATCTACACTTTTCCAAAAAAAATGAAAATTTCATTTCAGAATTCGAATTGTTTTAAAGTTAACAAATTTTAGTACTATCAAAAAAATCAAAAGATAATCAATATTGCAAAAAAAAGACAATATATTTATCCATCTCTTCTTCCATTCTTTTAATAACAAACTATCATAAATTCATTTAATAATAAAAATAAATTAATCAAAGGATCAAGAAGATAAGTAAATTTTCTTGATTATCAATTAATCATTACACACCTTATTTAATTTCATTTTCTTGAAGAATTCTTCTCGAAACATTGACTTTTCTCGAGAATCCGCCATGTAAACAAAAACAAATATTGGAAATGGAATGATCACATTTTGCGACAGTATTTATTAGAAGTAATGAGACAAAGAGTTGCTCATTTCTGTTTGCAAACTGCAGTTTGTTGATGCAGTACTAATAAATAATATGATTGGAAATATTTTTAGAGTAAAAGTGAAAAAGTACCTATTTGCTGATGAAAAAGCGGTCGAGTCCAAAAAGCGCCTTGCTATTGAAATAGTGCAATTCATAGAAAAGTTAGCCTTAAATCACCTCCTAACTACAATTTTATTATTCATATAAACGATTTATAGCAAATTACAATCTATCATTGACTGAATTTATAAAACAGCTTTCTTTCGAGTTTTCTCGAAACATTCATTCCTTCCCAATCGTTGCAAAAATCATCAGCTGTAAATGCAGAGATGCAATTTATCAACGAGTTAAGAGGTGACCATGTATTGCTAATTAATAATGCTAATGAGTTAAGAGGTAACCATGTATTGCTAATTAATATTGCTAATTCGATAATGAATTTCGAATAAGTTCATTATCAAATTAGTAATTTGTATAAATCCCAGCAAGTTCTTCCACTCAATTCGTTATTTACCACTATGAGTATTTGAATTTATTGCTTGTCAAATGTTTTTGCATCAAATTTGGAACGAAGCTATTCTGAGATTTTCAAAATTTCAAAAAAAAAAAGCAATAACATAGCATGAAAAATTCTCGGGATAATTCTCGAGACTAATGATTGGACAATTAAATGATTTGATGATATCTTCCCATACATTTCCATAAATTTTCACTTCTTATGAAATGTAGGTAGGAAAAATTTTCCGAAAAAAATTCTTTGCATTTAAAAGATTTTTGAATAATTTAAATTTCAATAAAAGTGTAATACATTTAAGAAGCATTGAAGCCAATTGCCTGATTCTCATCATTTAGGTATTGGAAACGATTAAGATTTCGGAAATGTTCTGGAATCAAGCAAGAATGTACAAGTTAGAACACTCTAAATGATCACTAATATCACGAGTAAAGATGATCAATTCAATTCTTGTCATTTTTATTTTCAACTTCTTCATAATTGAACTTTGCCCTTTGAAGATCATTTACTCTTGGATTTCAATTGTCTGAAAAAAATTCATGACAACAATCATCCATTTCATAAAATTATTCCTTTTCAAACTTCTTTCTGATAACATTAGTCGTGCTTTTGCAGTTTTTTTTTTTTGAATCATCCTGAAATCCTTCTTCCATCATTATCATTTCACATTCCAAAAATAGAATTAAAGCTTGTCATTTTAAAATCGAAAGTCATACAGAGATAATGATTTGATAATAGCTATATGATAAAAAATAAAAAGAAAAGTCAAGATATTGCTAAGTTCAGGTGGAAGTGGAACAAGTTTAGAGAGAATGATAATTAAATTAATTAATTTAACAATAAAACTGAGAAATCTTTAGATATCAATGATCAAGCACAGAGTAACAATCGAGAATTCTTGTTAAATAATCTTCATGATAATCATTTATCGTTAATTGAATATCAGTTAACAAATACTCTGTCAAATTTTTGTATGTAAAATTCGACGTATGCTATTTAAGAGGATCTATAATGAAATGAATAAAACTAACTGGTGGAAATTTTTGTCACAATTGCTACATTCAGGTGACATTCCTGATAAGTTTTATTTCACTCTTTTCACTTAGTGTTTTTAAAAAGAATGATTTTTTGCATTCAAATTCAGAAATTTAGGAATTTTAGTTTTTTTTTTCACCCAAAAATGCAACCCTCTGTAAGTGGCAAAACTTAGAGAAGATAATTATTTGTGCTGTAGGAAAGGAATCAGCTAGTTTTAGGCTTTAGTTTGAAGTTAGTTAATTATCGCCATCTAGCGACAGTCTTTTCCATTTTAAATAAGCAACAAGGAAAATTAAATTTAATTTTCGAAATTCTTCTCATCAGGGAAATAACTGAGAAAAAATTAATGAAATCTAAGGAAATACCCAGCAGTATAATAAAATTTGTATGAAATAAAATTCTTCAAAAAAAAAAAAATTTGGGCTTTCTAAGCGTAAACTGATTTATATTTCATAATAAAAACGAAAAAAAAAGACGAAAAATGAATACTTTGTGAAATTTTGATTGAAAAAGTAATGGAAAATATCAGTAATAAAAGAAAATCAATAATATATGAATGAATGAAAAAGAAGAGTTTATTTTTGAATAAAAAAAAAATTGTCACCATAAACAAATTACTTCATAACATTTTTAAATTAATCGATTTGCGCCTTTAAAATATTTACAATAAAATGTTTTTCTTTTTTATTTAAATAAAATTCCTAATAAAATTGTAATTTCCTTTTTTTTTTTACAGTAAGTAAAAATGGAAAGCAAAATATTTAGTCTGTATGAATTAATTTTGGAAATATGCATGATTTAGTTAAAAGTTCAATAGGCTTTTAAAAAGATCATCTATGATGCAAATCGTTGACAGTATTTTAATTCAACCAATCAACCGGAAAGTTTTTAGCAACTAGTCTGAGGAAGTAAGCGATAAGGAAGAAAAGAAAGTAATAAATATGAAGGAAAGAAAGTTAAGGAAGTAATTTCAAGCATTGAAATTTAATAAACCGGAATTTGTCAAAAACTTTCAACAATAGTGAACATTGTGATAATGGAAGTAAAAGATGGAAATGTTCTCGATAATGTCAACAAAGATAGCAATTACAAAGGTAAGAATGTTGCATTAGAATGACAAATTTAAAAGGGGAATAAACCGGCTGTGACCTTTAGCTTATTGATTAATCCTTATCATGGCTATTTTGAATTGTTACTGTTATTCTATCTTGAATTAAATGTACTTCTGCTCTAATCAAGTTCAAGGAAAAAAAGCTACGAACGATGTGTCACAATGAATGAAACTATGAAATGATTGAAAGACCATTCAAGGTATTAGTTAAGATTGAAATTGAAGAATCCAAATAAAAATTGACTCAGAAAACTTCATTGATGAGAAACAATCCATGGTGCAACCATTCGCATCAGTGTCACATAATACCGTGGTGACAAAGAAATAAAGGAAAAGAACGATCGTTGTTGTCCACTCGTATTTTTATCCTTTTCATAAAAACTACTGTAAAAAAGAAAATCTTTTTCAATCTATAAAAATAATGCATTATTAATGACTTAACGATGGCTAAATTTTTCTTTAAAGTTCTTTTTTTTTTGAAAAAAAAGAAAGTTTTTAAATTTTTTTAAAGTTTTTTAAAAAAAAGTCTTTTAAAGTTCTTTTTTTCAAAAAAAACAGTTTTTTTCTCTGCTATATAACCGGAAATTTTCATTGTGTGTAATTTCAAACGCTATCGATAGTGCTGTTAATTACTAACAATTATCATTGCAATGAAATGAGACGATCCCTTGGAATTGGCTGAAAATCGTCTGGACAGCTGGCGCTATTGTCCAAATGAAAATCAGACAAGTCTTAGCCTGAATTTATTATAAAATTGCATCACTCTGCTGATATAATTATTCATGTATTATTCATTCGTTTAGTTAATTACTAATTTTTCAAAAACTTTGTTAGTTAATCATTGCATAATTGCATGAAAAAGTTAATTTGTTTTGTGGCTATGATTGATGAAATAGACTAGGCTCATTTTATGATCCATTAGAGTATTTCTTGATCGATGAAAAGTTGCTCGAACCATTCGATATTGATCGAAAGTCTATTCCACTTGATGGAATATTTCGCTTCTCCTTTGTTTTATGTTTAATTTTACTCGCATCTTTTTTAATTCTTTAACAAAGTAAAGATAATACACCCATTTAATACAGTGAAACATCAAATGGATGCATCAATGATAGAAATTACCGGATCTTGTTTACAAAAAATTTATCTCATTGATTACCGGATCCTGTTTACATTTTCTACATGAGTAATTCAAGATCTTCCAAAGGTTTAAACTGAAAAGCAGCTGTTAGATGATATGAATGCTTCACTACTTCAATGTTTTTTTTTGTTTTTTTTTTTTTTGTTGCATTTTATTACCTTCACAAAATATTCATGCTCATTTGATCTTTAATCTGATTCATGTTTTGAAAAAAAATGTTTCGTTTTTTTGAAGCTTCAAACAAATGAAATTTGCTTTCTCAAGGAACATTTACACATTCTCATAACTTTTAAGCTTACTGATAATGTTGTTTCTTCATTTAACTTTCATAAACGGTCGAAGTGAATTTTTTTTTATTTTCTTTGGTGATACAACAATATTTGATTAATTTATAGATAGCCCTTTTTATTCATTTTTCATAATTTCCATTAGTTGTCTTCGTCTTCCTCCACTCACCTCCGTGTCTTCCGTGTATCCATTCATTTTCACTCACCTCCATGTATCCACACATTTCCACTCACCTCCGTGTATCCACACATTTCCACTCACCTCCATGTATCCACACATTTCCACTCACCTCCATGTATCTGTTTATCATCATCCTAGAACAGAAAAACTGATACTGACATTGATGATGATCATCAATATTGAATCTGTAAAATATAAAAATGAAGAAGAAAACGATTTATGTGCAGGAATGTGCAAAACATTTATATGAAATAAATTAATAGTAAAAATACTCTTTATAAACTTTTAATCCATCCTAGGTCAGTTGATGAAAAGAAGGTAACTGACCCCTGACCTCCTTATAACTTAAAATTTAAATTCATCCATGAAAGAAAAATAGCAAAGTAGCACACAAATAAATAACGCAATTATAGATATCCATTTTTTTTTTTTGAATTCAATCTTTGAATATTTAATAATGAAAGATATTACTTTCTTAATTATTAACTCAATTTTTGCTTTCTTAATTAATGATCCAAAAAATGTTATATTACTTACTAATCAGATTATCATATTTTAATTTTATAGTACTAATCAAACCATTTCATTTTAATCTTAGGAAAAACAACAATCAT